CTCTCTCTCTCAAACTTCAAATTTATTCCTTCTACAATATGTACTTGTTTAAAAAAAAACAGTCCTCACGGTGGTGCGCATGCATTTTCGATCCCCATTGTGGTTTACAGAAGCGCGAAACAATGTGAACGGTGTTCACGATAGTGTCGGTTGAAACGACGCTGCTGTGCTGATGTCCATTCGCCTTCTCCCATTTCAATTCCTTGCAACTTGTCACGTGTTCCCGTTCACTGTCAACCTCTGTGTACCACTGCACAAAAGTGCACTTGTGTTCCACATTACCGCCGTCTGTGGGTGCATCAACGACGAAAAACATGGCCACTGATGCGAACCACGTACATTCGTTGGCTGCTCTTATTGCGACGTCGCTGTGCACTGGTCTCCCGTAGAACCGCGGCGACGCTCGTGCAGTTTGAACAAGTGTGCCCCTCTTTGTTCCGTCCTGCGTGCAAGCGATGGCGAGATGTGTTCGTGTGTGTATAGCGAGATCATCAGGAGGAGGTTGACAACCATTCTCTGCCATGTACGTCGTAATCGCTGCTCAAAAATCGGTTCTGAAAGGGAGCACTTCAAGTATCTTACACGCATGACTTTCAATGCCTTCCACCTCGCATATCTGGTCTTGATCGATGTCGAACCAGCGCAGTTGAAGGATTGACGTATCGCGTAGTGCCAGGGTGTTCATCCCCGTTGCCATACAGTCCGTCACAGAAGACCTATTCTCGACGGCCCGCTTCCTCCTTTTCCTCACAAATCCGGTCTCCTCCTGCAATGCCAGCGACCGGCGCACGTGGTTGACCATCTGGGTTGACGCTTTCCTTTTGTTCGCCATTCGCCCTTCCGCCGCACGGCGCACGTCATCGTCGTCCGCCGTGAACACAACTGCTGCGAGTTGAGTTTCCAGCGTCTGGGATCTCCTGCTGTCCGTGAAATCGGCCACGACATCGAGGTCCGTTTTCGACACGGTGCATGTAGGGCATACACCAAACTTCACATCGCTCTGGGTAGTCTTGTATATAGTTGAGGAGGAAAGGGTGGACAGTCACGTCCCCGAATCGCGTCGACGGTATCGTGATGCCGTCGTGCGATGCCTCCTTCGCAACTTGCAAGACCGTCGAAAGGGCCTTGTGGAAGATGACGGCCTTTCGCTTCCTGAATGCGGTGGACTGTAGACCCCATCCTTTGTCACAGGGTCGATGATGAAGCACGGGAAGATAGGCCAGCAGAGTGGCTTCCGACGCGTGGTCGGCTAGCGACATCATAAGAGGGTATGCCGTCTGTTTCTGACGACCRTCTGTGTGTGTCTTGTCGGAGTACAGTGAGAGAGGGATTACATATCGTGAATATCCATTCTCGTCGACACCTTTGTGCGCTCGAATGATTGACTGCGTGTGATAACTGAGCGCCCCGCTGCGCAGACCGGATACASTGTTGTCCTCCGACGGCGGGSACACCTCGAGGGAATGAACCGTCTCGCATTTCTGCAACGCTGTGTTGTAATCTTGGCTATTGTACGATGCCCACCCCTCCTTCAGCACACACTTTCCGCAGTTGGCAAGACACATGACATCCCCTCCGTCTGACTCCCCGTTTGTTGTCTTCGTGACGTGGGCGGAGAACCACTTCAAGACTGCGGTGCGCCTTTCCCTTTCAATATCCAGCCATGCCTGAAACTCGTCGAACGTGGTGTTCTTCGTTTCAGCAATTGTCTGAAGTCTGGCTGACATGTCCTCCCTMAGACGAGTAACGTCTATATCTTTCATGTTGTCAAGCAACAACCAGAACACGGTGAACATCCTRTGCTCCGCAGTTTCTGTYATTTCGTCGAGGAGCGACTTGAGGCGGCGTAGTTCGTCTGACATCTCTCTAAGCAGTACTTTCTGCTTATGCACCTCCTCTGTTAGCCTGTCTATATGTTCTCGGTCGCTAACTAYARTCCGACCMCTGTTTCGATCCGTTTCAGGTGTCTTATGGTCCTTGCCGCGTGGGGGAAGGAACTCATCCATCCTTGCATGACACTCTCCGCCCAACTTTCTTTTATGTCCGGTCGTGGTGAACCTTGACATCTGGAAAGCATTGTATATACAGAGAAATACGTGGATATAGCAAGAGAGAGAGAGAGACAGAGAGGGAGCCTCACTGCTTCCGTACAATGGCGTCAACGGGGACCTACCAAACACTCTCTATGTGTAAATGTAATGTAGCAACACTAGTATTTACTACTCAACATTTGCGTCCCCCCCCGTACACGAGTCCATACATCACTGAACAACACGGCACAACTCCGACATGGCAGACCCTTATTTCGAAACGCAAGCGTCAAAACCAGGAATTAAGCAAGACATGAACGCCAGAACGCATGCAAGTAAACACATATAAAATGGCTGCGACAGAGACACAGAGAGAGAGCCCTATTCCGGACCCAGAGATAGAGACAATCGCCACGAACAAAGAAACTGTTGGATGGTCCGCCATTCTGATGTTGACCGAAGTTGGCTAATGCGGGCCAAAAATACACATAGACACATCGATGTGTGTGCCAGTGGCCCGCAGTAGTCAACCTCTCTCTCTCTCTCTCTCTCTCTCTCTCTCTCTCTCTCTCTCTCTCTCTCTCTCTCTCTCTCTCTCTCTCTCTCTCTCTCATTGCTATGAAAAAGCGAAAAGAAATGACAACGTTGCAAAGGGGGGAAAAATAATTACAAAGACGCACCCTCCTTCCTTCTCTTTCCCTATCTTTC